TCAATTTCTATACACAAATTTATTATAATCGAAAATTTCTATACAAATTTATTAGAAATCGAATTTATAATCAATATTCATTTTAATTAAATTTTATGTTGAAAATTTATTACAATTGGCTTCACTTCTATTTAAAAATAATTTAATATTCATTCTAACTAAATTTTGTATTAAAAATGTATTATAATTAGCTTCACACACATTTCTATTTGAAATCAATGGATTTAAATTTCTATTACAAATTTATTGTTATTTAAAATTTCTAATTATATCTCTATTAAAAATCTACTACAATTCAAATTTATAATAATTAATTTCGCTCCTGTTTAAAATTAATTACAATGATGTCCACTAAAAATTTATTATAATTTAAAATGTCTAGATAAATTTCTAAAAAGAAATGGAAGATTTTACTATCACACATTTAGATGTTCTTTTATTGAAGTATTCAGTTGAGATTACTGCGTCTGTTACTTAGCGTAGATAATGTTGTTTCTTAACGTTATTCTCATATTATGGACGACTGAATAGGCTGCTGGGTTTCGTTTCTATGGGTTCCTTGAAATTTTCAATAGGAATCATCACACTTGACAGTATTGAAATTGTCGTATGCTTCGGTTTTCTTTCGAATTTGTGTTTTACTTCAAAAACAGCTGGATTGCGCGGAGTAAACAGGTCAATGAACTGCTCTCAAGGGATATCAAAGACTATCTCCAAGATAATCTAATCTTTTACTGAAATGTGTGTAATAACCTTTTTCTAGTTCCTATCGAATACTTGAATACGTTACCTTCGAGAGGAATGAAAGGTCATTGAACTCACAGCTTCCGTGCCATTTCTTTTCACTTCTTTTGCAGAAAGTCTGAACCGTGTGCGAATGTGCATCGGTCTTGTTCGAGTAAATTTGCGAGTCTAGTGCGTGTCGAAATAGACGTGTTGTGATTTAGTATTTAAAGAGCTGAATGATAAGCTGCGCTGTGTGAGATTATGTAATGTCGTATTCAGTGTATGTCGACAAACAGAAGATTTCTATCAGTTTTGTAAGAACAGAAATTCGTGTGAACAGGAACGGATGTATGCAATTGTTTACGAAACATATGTACGCGATTTGTGTACAGAATACAGAATGTTGCATTAATGAAACAGTGCGTGTCGTGTAATTCAACGCATCAGTTATAATCGAATAGGAATTGTTAAATCAATTCTACTTCCAGCAGATTTTATAAACGATCTTAGCCTTATATAACAATCTTAGAATTATGTCGACGTATTATTTAGACTTTTATAACAATCTTAGTATTATATTGACGAATATTTCTTGGATCGCTAAAGAGTATCCTGTACTTGGTTGGAGTTGCTACAAATAGTGTGTTTATTTCAGATTCGCATGCGTTTCAATAGCGCTGGACTATCTGTTCCAAGGACCATGCGCGTCGTAAATCACATTTTGTTTGTCTAGATTTACGCTACCGATGGCCTACATAATGTTACAACTATTCGAACTTCGTATTCGATCGTAGATTAACTTTGTACATATACTTCGATTAATTTCGTAAACGAATTTCATAGACATTCGTAAATTAATTTTATACACGTTCGTAAATTAACGCTTCATTCCGTCGGAAGCCTATCAATCGAATTTTCAATGATTGTGCTATGCGATAATCTGGGTTGGGCAAATTTTATTTTAAATAACAAATAACAAATCGCAAATCGCAAATTAAATTCATATATTTCATTGGCAAATAAAAATCAAAGTTTTCATTTAATTTGCGAAATAAGATGTTATTGATCAAAATGCTTTTATTAAATCCTAACATTTTTTTCTCGATGACTATGGTCTTATGCGAGCTTGTGTTAGTTACTTATTGCAGCGATTGATGCATCACGGTGCAGCGTCGCCTTGCGTGAACGTAACACAAAACTTATATATCTAATCGCACGTGGAGAAGTGTAAATTTGTTTATGCGCTCAAGGTTTAACTGGTCTGTTCCCAACGTTCGAGTTTTTTCTCCGTGACTTCCGTGACACACTGTTTCCTTTTCCTTGACAGTATTGCAGTCCGCTGCATTATTATACTGCTTCTTCTTTTCCGCGAACAATTGCTATTTTCCTTGACCTTTGTTCATTGTGCGACTCATGCCAGAGTTGGACATTATTCGAATTGTTTCGAATAAATATTTATCTAAGATCATTAGCCGAGTGACGAATTCTTCTTAGTCGAATATTTTATTCGAATAACGATTATCCATTATTCGTTATAAGTTATTCTTTCTATTCATTCGAATAATTCTAATAAAGAATCAATGGAATGTGAATTATTCGTATAATTCTTTATTCGAATAAGTTGTTCGAATAGAGATTGCAGAATTATTGGAATCATTTCTTTTTTTGTTACGTAATTGTTCATATTACATCATAATAACATTTTTCCGTACAATATTAAAAAAGAAAACATTGATCATGCCTCTGTCGAAATTTCAGCAGAAGTCATTTTGTAATTCGATAAACGGTTGTTTAAAAAACAGATGCGAAGTATTAATAAATATAATATATTATTATATGTTATATATATTATTTATTATTAATTCTCGTTACGAGCCAATTCTTACTGCATCACGTTCGCCTCACACATTGTCATTGTCCACGATGATTTATGGCTCTACGAACACAATTGTAAGAATAGAATTCAGAGGTTTTGAAGATTCGTTCTTAAAGCACGATTTAATTGAATTAATCGTTATGTAAACGCTATTGATCGTTGCACGCACGTACGCGCAGACATAATCGGATCAAGTCCGACCAATTTAGTTTATCTGAATAAAGTACTTCTGTCCGCGTTATTAACGAACAATATGCGCGTTATTTGCATACGAAGAATTCATCTTTCGCAATAAATTTTATTCCTGCATTAATATGACGATACGGCTCGACTGTGTGCGATCTACGATAGAAATAGATAACGCTGATTCAATGGCTCATTGAGTACTCTGTATTTGAAAGTTTGTAGATGGTCGGTCGTGATTAGTATTGCGTGATCAATGAAGGAGCTGTTACCAGAAATTTATCGAGGTCTCTCTTGTCAGCTCATTCCTTATTTGAACACTACCGATTGGCGTGATCGTTGCAGAAGAAACCGTTCGATTATGCACCGGAACATATTAAATTCACCTTTTGCATCATCTTTTGCATTGGTATGCACCGGTTTTGTCGCGGTGACATATCCAAGCCCCGGTGCATAAATGGTTTCCCCTTTTATTGCGCGGAATATGTACAGTCGGCGTGCAAAGCATTCGTGCACCGTATTTCCGAAACGTGCATTTTGACCTAATTAATAATCTACAATAATCTATTATAATTCAATTTGCTATTTAAATTCCTACAAGAAAAGATCTATTACAATTCAAGTGTCTGTTAACCCTTTTAGTGCCGGGCGAAAAAGAGGTGTTTGTGCGAAGATGACTGACCGAATTTTACGATTTTACTAGGATTTGGAAAAAGGCTGATAAAAACCAAATGTAAAGCAATATTTACATAATTCAAAAAGCAGTGTATTAAGGACAAAGTAGAGAATAATACAGTGACGCTAATTTTTCTCTCGTATTTATTTATTTATAACACTACAAGGTGTGCGGTCCGATATATCGGCTCTGGCACTTTTCGCCGGTGCAGCGAGGGTCGATATATCGGCCTTCGACACTAAAAGGGTTAAAAATCGATCGCAACTTAAATTAATGATAATAATATAATTAACTGTTATATTATAAATCCGTTATAATTAATTGTATCCCTATTTAAAATCAAGTACAATTTTGCATAATGTAACAGCATTTGAGCTGTTCGGCAGCTGCGGTGTTAACCTGCCTCGCAACAGTAAAAAAAAGAAAAAAACAATTTGATGGTACGGCTGGTAGCTCGGTGGTTGGCAGAGTTCAGATTACAGCAGGCAAGATGGAGGACTCGAGAGTTTTAATAAGCAGTGGGAGTGGCTTAAGTGGGTGATATCTTAAAATCTAAAATTCATGAAATCGAAAGAACAAGGTGGCGGCGGAAACGTGTAAGCGACGATAGTCGAGATATTATAAAGAAGACACGGCATATGCGTCGTCGTTTGGGAATAGCTGAACTTCTTAATTATATCGCCGCGGCTCGATTAAGTTATAGAAGAAACCACCAACGGGAAACTTTCAGTCATCCCTGAAGAATTAAGTAACCGGCGTACGGTTTCCCGGTAACCAACCCGGGTTGTCAGCCATTTTTAATTTCGGATCCGAATGAGCTGGTAGAACACGCGCAGCAAGTTTTAATTATACTCAAACACGGCACTACTTCCGCGCATTGCAAATACTTTTCCGTTTTTCATTGGAATCAGACGAATTCCCGCGAACAAAGGCGCCAAGTACAATCAACGAAGTCCGACAATTGAGTCGCCTTTGTGTCTTCATTCTCTAAAGTGAATATCGTGTTTTCTAAATGATAGGTGCTGATGAAAAGAGAATTCAGAGTCGTGGCAGAAGATATTACGGAAAGATATCATCGGGAAAGGTTCCTTACGGGTTTTCATTTTCGAAAATCACTACCCGTTTTCCGTTGGAAATCGTAATTAATTTACTTAGACAACAAACGACAAACCGTCTGAAGTACTCATTCGTATATTTGTTGAAGTAAATAACGACGAAACAATCATTGGAACTGTGATTATAGACAAAACAGTCAGCTATGGTTTTCCTATTTCACATTTGATGGAATCTTGTAGTACTTATATTATTTATCTCGCAATTGTGAAAAGATAAAAATTAAAAAAGAAAGCCTCGATATAATTTCTGTCGACAAACCCAACATAATCAATGAAATAAAAAGAAACGAAATTGTATTTCTCGTTCAACAATCTGACTTTGGACTACAGTTACGGAAAACGTATTACGTTTACGATACAAGAACATTTATATCAAAATTTTATATTGCTACTCGACGCTACTGAGCCACAGCAGTTTCGTTTTACGCGACGAATAATATTTAAATTATTAATAAAACATTGAGACCGGAGTAAGTTTTACAACTGTTTTATAGCCTCGGGCGATATTCGTATAAAGAGAACTAAATCAGATTCTTTAAAAGATTAACACTATTTTCTAACTGATTACATTATTGGAAATAAGAAGTAACTATTTGAAATAATTTATTTCGGACCGATATTTCCAGTATTATTTGAAAATAAAGATAATATCGAATGTGTTCGTTGCCAGATGCCGATAACATTTCTTGGAGAGAAGATGTCCGTTCTTTGTGGTTATTTATTGCATTTGTCACGGAAATCTCATAATAATTCGCAACAAGAAGATTTTATTTTGAAAAGTCTTCGTGGCAATCGGCTTTGAGCAAAACTCTTTCTTTAAAAAAGTTCATCTTGAAGAGATTTTTGTCTGGATCTATATAATATTGTCGCGAAAAATATAATCATTCTACTGGCACACGAGATGAAAAAGGGACAACATTCTTCGGAGAAATGTTTCTTATTGTCGGATAATCGTTCAACGTAGTCAGATAAAGCAGACTCGGAGCTGATAATTGAAACACCATATAATTTCTAAGAAGAATTCCATAGTTGTTTTAAATAATCATTTTAAACGATTATAAAGTACAATAACATTATACAAATTTTATTTCAAATAATACATTAAATTATCATATTGGAAATTATCATATAATTTCCAAGAAGAATTTCACAGTTATGTTAAATAATTATTCCACACAACTATGAAGTAAAATAACGTGCTATTTAAAATGACATTTTAAATAATGTTACATCGCAGGTGATCACAGGCATGGAAATAATTATGAAACGAAATAACACGTTACTTGAAATACTATTATCATTTTACGTGCGAAGGTCTGATCCAAGGAGTCCGGAACTTCGTTTTGCAAAATTCATTTTAACAGTTCGTAATTTTTATACGGTGCATTTAATAAATTATTCTAGCAACGAAGATAGATCACGAGATGTGAAAACATGTTAAAACCAAGCGTTCTTCCTTGCGACCACAGATTTTATTAATTGAGATGTTCCGTATGAATCATGCAACCGGTTGGCACGTGATATCGAGCACCAATGCCATGCTCAATCACCGGAATAATTTGATCGTCGGATTAAGGTTTTCTAATTTGTATTCCCAGGAAACTAACGATTACCCGTCGATATAGGGTGGTCATAAAAGAGCGAATGGAATAAATTAATCGGGAGTTGTATATGGATTAGGTGCGCCGTGGAAAGCGAAACCTTGTCTCCCGTCTCAGGACGCCGATCGAAAGTTTGTCGGAACTTAAATCGAGATCGACGAAGTTTTGAAATTAATTCTTATTGAGCTTTGAACCGACTCGTCGAACGCGACACGATTTCTTCGAGACCCTCAACTTGTGTAATAACCTTCTGCACGGAAACTTTTCGTCACTGAGTATCTAATAAATATTAAATTCGTACCGTTCGTCGCCGGGCATAACGATTTCGATACAATATCCTGTCGCTATGCAATTCACCGCGCTAAGCATAAAACGAATTTTTATCAATCTCTATACACATACAGCGTGTCCACGTTTCAGTGTAAACTCGATCATTATCTCTTGGACTATAGTATCTACACGCGACGGAGGGTTCATGTGACAGATTTGTGAAATAGTCACGTATTTTGGCAAAGGCCAACATTATTTATGTATAGCCATTATTAATGTGACACGGTAAATGGAATAAAACGGAAGCGAAATATATTTTCGATGAAGTGTTAATCTTTTCAACACGATTGAATGTATTTATGTCTCCACGTTCGACATTGTATAGTGTATTTATGTCCTATGCACTTTGGAACATTATATTTGAATTGAAATTTGTTGAAAATGTAAATGTTTCTATTGTTTGCTATGAGTAGACTGCGGTTCTTTATGCAAAATAAGAGGAATCCGCATCAATTGCAAAAAGTAATAATCAGTTAGAAGTTTGTTTCTTGCTTTGACAATCTTAATAAGATAAGAACAACGTATCGACATTTTCAAAATTCCCTCGACTTTCTACTGTTCTGTACTCGTTGTACTAATTTTTTTTCATAAATGCATAAAATTTGTAGTCTAATTATGAGCGATAAAAGAGGTGGTATTATCGTAATATCCTGCTGGGAGGAAAATTTGTGTACTGCAACGCATTCGCACGTAGTATCATCAAAAAGTAAAAGTTACGTTACTTTTACAGGACATACAATGTTGTGCTGAAAGGGTTGAAGAATTTAGCAACGGAGTTTTAACGGTTTATTAGCCTATCAATAGAATTTTTATTATTTGTGCAATACTAAGAGGAATCGAAACAAAAATCTTTTTCTACACGATAATCCCGAACGAAATTATTAGATGATTAAACTAACTAAAGAATTTATTATGTTTTGAACTATAAATTATCGGAAATTATAAAATCATCGCTGTCATATGCATTTACGACAGAAATAACCACGTCACAGATAATGATAAAAACATTTAAAGAATTTTAAATTACTGTTGAGCTATTTTCAATTTATTAAAGTTATTAAGGAACGAAATAAATATCTACGTAGCTCCTGTATCTTGTAATTAGTAGTCTACCAGTAACCGGACCGTACTATAATCCTGTTTCAACTGTAGACAGAAAAAATTGCGGCGGACGATTTTGAATTGTTCTCAAGCTCTATCGTCGAACAGTTTGATTTGAGTGCACCAGTGCAACTACAATTTATATTCAAAATCGAACGCTACACTTTTTGGAATGATTAGCTTCTTTGTGTTCGTTCCGAACAAAAGCAAAGTACAAGGTAATATCAAGGCAGTGTATAATGTTCGAGAGATATTTCAAATTTCATACAACATCCACTAATCATTCAGCTATAGGGTCGTGCTATTTAAATAAAAATATAAAGATGTGTAACTCACGAATGTATTTTTTTGATGTTTCATGCAGGAAATCGCAATAACTTTCCTGGGTACTAAATATTTTAAGGAATAATGGCCCAGTTACGTTTACGCATCGACGCACTGTGCAATTCTCCGTGTTCAGCGCTCGAACATTTTCATCCGTCGAACCTGTGAAATATACTTCTTTTCGCTTTGTTTCAGTGGACCTGCTTCAAATGTTGGAGCTGAATTTAACGGTATCCTTCCCGGCAACGTCCCTTCTTACCGTGATTCTGGCTCTAGTCGGTAAGTTATAGAAATCCCATTTTTCTTCAATGAAACATTCGGTTAAACGAACTCCTTTCGATTACGAGGGAACAGAAAAATATTGTCAAGGTAATGTATAGATCATGATAGACAGAGAAGTAAGCTAGATTTTTTTTAATCGAAGGAGTGGGGATAGGTCACGTGACGCCCTACTCTTTCGGCTTGAAATCTAGCTTATTCTTCTGTCTGCCATAGTACGAACTTTCTTCTAGCAAATGCAGAATTTTGCGGGAAACGTCATTTTTCTCATAAGAAAGAAGCTTGTAAGGAAGGTACTCGAATTAATTCTTGTGGATCTATCGTTAGGTACATGTTGCAAACTAATTTCGATAATTAGAGGGAGCACAACATTTGAAATATCGCTCGAACTGCCGACTATCTTAACGCTAAACGTACTGCACCCAGTCAAAATGACCGGTTTTACAGTGTTTGTTCGAAATTTATTGGAATCACGAAGATTCTCTCATGCGAAACGATCAAATAGATTTTTTATTTCAAGCACACGCTATTAATAAGAACGATGAAAAGTTTGAATAAATAGAGTCTTGTCATTTTTGTGAAACAACACACGTCGGTCACTTTTATAGCTCGATAGGCACAGCGTTAACACTAAATGCTTGGTAAGGTAGACTCAGTGCTAACGCTATATCTACAGAGCTGTAAAAACGACAAGTGTTCGTTGTCTCACAAAAGTAAGAAGATCGAATTTATTTCGATTTGGTACCGTTTTTGTTACAGTAGCTGCTCCGACGATGTAATTTATGATAGGTTTAGTCTTAAATTACTTTATTATTCAGAATATTTCAAATAATATTTCCGCACAAAACTGTACTATTCTGTTTCCAATAAGAGTGTAGTATATTCATATTTTTCAAATGCATCGCAGCGATCACGACAAAATGTACGTGTCTATGTTGTTCGGTTTTTTCATTAGTTTTTTAAAAATGGTATCTCGTAAATAAATGCGATGCCGGTGGCATCGCTAAAAAGTATTGTTTTCCCACAGATTTAATCCGTTTCGTCGGTGTACGCTGTTGCTTGTTTTCATTCTTTCTCGATATTTCATTGTCTATACCGATCGTTGACAATTTGTGTGTTTCATGAACGCAGTGGTTTACAATGCATTTCGTGTATCGTGAATTCGAACATGTGATTTTATATCGGTTTTTAAACGTGGATACAGACTCGTGCTTTCTTCAGGCTTTGAAACTCTTTAAAATAACAGTTTTATATCAATGAATTTACGAAACTTCCGCATATAATCTTGCAACGAAGTTAACAAATTTCGTTAAAGTATTTAGATTATTATTCTATGCAAAAGTAGTTATACATACATATATATATATACGAATTAGATAAACAAATTAGATAAACTTCCTAGTCCGCGAAGTTGAGAAGTTATGCGAAACAAAAGCTGCTATGTAAATAAATAGGTTGATTAAACTGTGTTATTATGATGCAGATCGAAACTATAATTGGTTTAGCATTTATAATAATCTTCACGGTATTCTACCTCCATGCACAGATGTATAGAGTGCTCATTTTGAATATATATATTATTAGAGAATAAACGATATTAAAAAGGAATTTAAATAGTTCGTAAATTTTGTTCGCAATAATTTAAATTATAAGTTCAATTAATAGTTAATCACAATTAACTGTTACATTCATTTTAATCATTAATCTCAATTAACGATTGAATCATTACTGTTAATCTTTAATCGCAATTAGTTAGACACGGTTAACGGCTATAAATATATATATATTCAAAATGAACACTCTATACATCTGTGCATGGAGGTAGAATACCATGAAGATTATTATAAATGTTAAACCAATTATCGTTTCGATCTGCATCATAATAACACAGTTTAATCAACCTATTTATTTACATAGCAGCTTTTGTTTCGCATAACTTCTCAACTTCGCGGACTAGGAAGTTTATCTAATTCGTTGTGGAGCACACAGTACATAAAGAGATTGGTAAAAAGTTTATATAATGTCGTAGTAGAGCTGCAGAAAAAATAGAGATTATTTCATACAATTCCTCATCAAGAATTGAATGACCGATTCAATCGTAATCGTAATTAATCTTATCAATATGCTATTGAAACTTCGATAAAACTAGACACAACGCTTGCGAAACATTGCAATCCTTATATAGGATTATATCAAGATCGAGATGATTTTTATGTTTGATATACTTTTTCGCGTCGGCTGCAATGATGTTATCACTCGATTGCGGATCATCGTGTAAGACAAACATTTTCTACATCTGCTGCACAGAATAGGAGTAACTTAGAGATGTTGTATTCTTCCTTTAATAGTTTTAGTAGATCAGAAGAAGTGTTGGGCATCGAACAATTAAAATTTTTAACTCTATTAAATGATTGATAAAAACGATTGAAGGCATTAATCGTTGAAAAGTCGACGACGGAATTAATCGATTGATGAAATTAATCGTCAATCGTCGATTGAAGGAGATGATTAATAATTGTTGAACTTTTAATGGAATTGGAAGGATATTTTGATGTAATTCCGTTAAGCGTCCTATTTAGCCGTTAACCGTGTCTAACTAATTGCGATTAAAGATTAACAGTAATGGTTCAATCGTTAATTGAGATTAATGATTAAAATGAATGTAATTGTTAATTATGATTAACTATTAATATTAGTAATTCAACCGTTCGTCATTAAGAAAAAATTCTTAACATAATTTAAATTATTGCGAACAAAATTTACAAACTATTTAAATTCCTTTTTAATATCGTTTATTCTCTAATAATTCGTTACAACGTTAATGACACAATTTCGGATAGAAAAAAAAGCAAGAAAGTGTGTAAATAACATAATAATCTTTTTCTTCACAATTGGAAGAAATTTATTGCAAGAAATTTAAAATTCACGCCAAGATAAAGATTAATGTTACGTAACTTAATATACTAAAAATCAAGGAGGTAATTTTTGGTAATTTTTTGTAAAGTCTAATCTATGTTGACTAACATTTAACTGAACAAATTAATGGAAATTATCAGTATTTTCAGAAAACGACTTGCCAATTTTGAAGACAATATTTAGTATTGAATAGAATCTGTAAAAATCAAATTAAAAGCGTACACATTTCTCACGGTGGTAATGATCTGAAAAAATGTATCGAAATTTTGGACACATTTCTAATACCAGCTTCGATAATAAACTAATAATAGCAAAAATTGTGGGTGGCAATACACAATCTACGTTCCTTTGTAAACACTTTACGACACAAGATTTGGTGAATTAAACATTTCTGGTATCTGAGTTTTATATATCTTTATTTGTTTTATAGTTTTATAGTTTTCATGGTTTTTTCGAGTTTTATAGCTTTTACACGCGTCACACAGTGTCCTGGTTTCTCGTCGCGACGAAAAGTGAAGCAATTCGTTCCTGGTAGCATTCCAAAAGCGTGAAGTTCTGCCGTCGTCGTTCGGTCCAAGTCTGGAGCGCGTGTCAGGCCACCGAAGGTGCAAAATATTAAAGGCCTTTTTACTAAATCAGGGCCTCGCTCGGTTTCGTTCCCCCGCCGATACGACGTTAGCTCAGTTACAAAGCTGATTGGCCGGGACGGTTAACCCAGGATTCTGCATAAATTTCTGATGAAGGCGCAACAGTTGGGTAACCCGCTCGGAGCCCATTTAGCAACGGTGGTGGCGTCGGTGGTTTCCCTACCACGACGCCCATTTCCATTTCAACCCGAATCTCCTCTTCACGCTCCGCATGTCCGTCAACGCCATCCAATTGACCTGCATAAAGTGAGATATCGCTAATCCTTTCGCGGAACAATCCGACGCCTCTGAAAATCCTGATACAATTCAATTCATGTTCAGCCGTTTTCTTTTCGCTCCTCCACTTCCGCCTCTTCCTTTCCGCGCGTTGAGACATGACACAAAGATTCGCGAACGATGATTAACTAGGGATCTCGGTTTTGGTCGGATATTGCATATGCACCTGTAATTAATATAATCGTGTATTGACTTGTATATTTCTTAATACACTGATACACGTGTAATTAATGTATTCGTTTTTAAATCGTTCATTCATTTTTACCAAAACAGGTTATTAATAGAATGAATTTCCAAATAGCTCGCAGTCGTTAGATTTATTTCTTCATTTACTTTTATTATTTTTTGTCTCAGAAAACAATTTTAAGTAGAAGAATTTGTAACAGATTTTTAATAGAAATTTAATTAGAAATTTTAAATTATAATAGATTTTTAATAAGAAAACCAGAGATGTTAAATTATAATAGATTTTCCATAGTTTGAATTAACT